GGTATTCTCGAAAGTAATTGCTTTGAAATTATATCACCTTGGTCTCTCACCGTGCCTTGGCTATTCAACGAAAATAAAATATTTTATTTTAGCTTAATATTTAGATAAATATCTAATAATGACCTACTTGATTGAATTAATTCTAATCCCATTGTTTGCTAATTCAAGACTTACACATTTCACAAACATATCCAGGGCACATTTCGACATATTAAACATGGTCCCCCCAATACGCTAAATATATGAAAATCGGTAAAACATTTAGTTAAAAATTCTGTAGTTTTATACCAAAGAGTCTTTTCAACTCTGCTTTTATATGTCTGTTTTACAGTCACATGAAAGCAAAGTTAAGTGACTTCATTGATATAATGCTAATTATGTAGATTTTATACTAACCGGCCGTAAACTAGCAAACCCTGAGAGTAGGATAATATTACCGCCGGTTTTAGCTAAATGTTGGGCACATAAATGGGTTAACAGTACGACTGAACGCATGTTTGTGTCCATAATGTGATGATATTTTGTGATAATATTTTCATCACTAATGTTTGCATTTGACCATAAATTAGCGCAATTTACAAAATGGTTTAATTTCTTAAACTTGTTTATTGTCGACTCAAGTAGTTTGCGACATTCATCCGGGTCAGTCAAATCGGCCACAAATATATGTGGTGTTAACTCTTATATCATATTAAAACAAATTGGATTAGGCTATTAAAATTATATATAATAATTATGTTTATGTATAATATTATGTAAATCATGTCTGTCAATGCAAAATTGTAATAGATGTTAATGATTGACTTTACCTAAAGGGGAAACATCTCTACACATTTGAGCCACCTGGGTGATTGTACTGAAATTTTGCCCGGTAATCACCAATTGAGCCCCTTTTCGGCTGAATTCGATCGCTGTTTGCGAACCTATTCTACCGCTCGCACCGGTAATCAACACCACTTTATCAGCAAATTCTGTAACAGATATCATGTTCAATAAATAAATATTAAAAATATTTTCAAAATTGCGTAATAATTATGTTTAACACTTGAATTTTCTATGATTGTCTTAATAAGCATTAATCAGAATCCCGATAGCAACAGGTTAGTTTTAAATAATATTTTTTCTCAAATTAGTATACAGTATAAGATGACTTGCTTTAGACAAAATTGAGTCTAGACACAAATAAAAAATTATTAAAATAAACAATTTATATGCAATTATTTGCAAACTAATTCACGATAAAAGTAAAAAATTTAAATATTACCAATTATAAAATACATATAGAAATATATTTTTAAAAACATATCTGATGTATATTTAATAAATAGATATTGGTTTGTCCATTTAATTTATATTCAGAAAATGGACATAACTCAAACTATACGAGGCCAATTATATCCAAAGCAACTAAATACTGGTCATGTCAAATACGCCTTGGACTACCAGCCCCGTGAGTGCGACCGTATTTTGATGGCGTACCCCAAATGTGGCACCAATTGGTGCCGGTATACCATATTAGCGATTATGGGTTTCGGTCACATTCCGGATCATTTAAAATCAAGCAATAGGCAGACATTTTTAGAGACACTGGGCTCCCGTGTGTTGGCGCCTCGGGAGGGTCTGGATTTAGAAACCAACTTTTTTCACACCCACACCCGACAACTACTGTCCCATAAATCGGAGGCCAAGTATTTAATAGTATTGCGAAATCCAAAAGACGTTTCCGTTTCTCTCTATTACTTCATGAAAAGTATCTATAGATTGGAAATGGATTTTCACGAGTTCTTTAAGATATGGACCGCCGGTAATGGTATGCTTTATGGCGACTACTTTGAAGCCATGAGAACTTTTTGGGAGCACCGGGAGGACAGCAACTGTACTGTCATTACATATGAGGAGATGTTAGCGAATCCGAGGGATAGTATTGTGAGAATCGCCTCATTCTTGGGACACAAATATGTGGACCGACTGTACGACCGGTGAGATGGCGATGACGGAACGGGTAGTAGTGGTGACACACTATTTGATCGCGTCATACGAATGATTAGTTTCAATGAAATGAAGTCTGCTATGCAATCAGTACCCACTATTTTCAGGAAAGGTATGGCCGGCGACTGGAGATCCCATTTAACTAGAGATGAGAGCGATTTGATTGACCAAAAGGTTGCGGACGAGTGGATGGGAACTGGATTGGGGTCACTGTGGAAACGGTTGATACAGTGGCCACTGAATGTTTAGGCCTAAAGTTA